GGGGGCAGCTCAAGGTGGGTGATGTGGTACCGGCCACTTCCCTTCCACAGCACTAGCCAGTCTGGTTTCTGATCCATCATGGGTTGGTGGTGAGAGACTGTTACTACCCGCTGTTGGCTGTTCGGCAGCCTGCATGCAAAAAGCTGAGTTGCTGGGTCCGGTTCCTAGTGGACACTGAGCAAAAGTTAATCCTCCTTGTGAGGGAAGGTGCATTTTATAGGTGGAGAAATCGAGATGCAGGCAAGCTTAGTGACCTAACTGTGTCTGCAGAGTGAGGCGATAGGTTGGTGATGACAGCTGGAGAGTGAGAGAGGCCAGCCTGATCCAGTGGGTGAAATTTGAAGCTAAACAAACTGGAAATAAGGGTTAGATTTTTTTTTTTTTAATCACTGGACAAGGATTGTGGTGGGGTCTCTATCAATGACAAACTTTAAATCAAGATTGGATGTTTTCCTTAGAAGAACTACTCTAGGAATTATTTTGGCCCATGCTACCCATGAGGTCAGACTATATCAGGGCTACTCAATACACAGCCCATGGGCTGCATGCATCTTTGCTTGCGTTCTGTGGTGCGGTTTGGGTTTAGACAGGACTCAACACGTGGCCTCGTGACCCATTTGCTTGCGTTCTGTGGTGCGCTTTGGGTTTAGACAGGACTCAACACGTGGCCTGTGGGTGGGAGCCAAAACAAAAAAGGAGTCAATATAATGGTCTCCTGTTGATATGCATTTTAATAGTTAAATTCCTGGACTGTCATTGCTCATTAAAGGTGCTGTCATATGGGAGGAAATTGAGTAACTATTGCATTTTATTAATATCAGCAGAACTGACTTAAATGGGGCATGCGTGTTGTGTAGTCTTGCCTTAATCTTTGTATTCATGCCCATCAGTGTGAAAGAAGCTATTTACATATATTTGCATGTATACGCAACCATGCTTAAGTTGCAGCACTCAGCATGTGCTGTGAGCATCATTGTGGCTCCCGGAGCTTCTAAAATTGAGTAGCCCTGGACTAGATGCTCGAAGTAGTCCATTTTGGTTTTAGAATCTGACTACAACTCTTAGACCCCTGCTCTGACTTCTAGACCTTGCTGCTTTCTGATATGTACATACAAAAAAAATCCCTCAAAGAGGCACTGAATGCTTCATTCTTGACTTCTCAGCAGAGTGGCTTAGGAATGAATGGGACAGAGACAGCTTGCTTTTGGCCTTTAGAGGGCAGGAGTGCAGCACATTAACAGGGCTGTGTGTCCAAAGCTTCTACAGATGCCCTGATATCCCTGTTGCAGAGAGAACCAGAAGAATCCGGTTGTCAGGCAGCCCCATATACCTGTGCTAAGTTAATCTTAAAAGCTTTAGTGATATAAACCATTGTTATAGAATGTGTGACCTACAAACTGTCCCAAAATCTGTAGAACTCAGGACTAGCCAAGAGAGAAGGCTGTAGAAGATAGCAGCAGGACCTGTTAGAGAGCATTAATGTGGGGTGAATTCGGCAAGTGTTACACAGGCTTCTCTTGCTCTTTTCCTTGTAGTTGGATAGCGCTATACAATGGAAATCAGCCACTCTGTCAAAGAGCGCACCATTGCTGAGAACAGCCTGGTTATCCTACTCCAAGGCATCCATGGCTATATCACCACAGTTGACCTTCGCGACGAGAGCACAGCAGTGGGCCGCATCACCAATGTGGATGCCTTCATGAACATTCGCCTGTCCGAAGTGACCTTCACAGACAGACAAGGCAGAGTCTCCCAGCTGGATGACCTGTTTGTGACGGGCAGGAATGTTCGCTACGTCCATATCCCTGATGAAGTGGATATCAGGGCCACAGTGGAGAAGCAGCTGCAGTTGATCCACAAAGTACGCTACTTTGGTGGCAGAGACAAAGGGAGAAAGGAATTCCCTACAGCAAAGTACAAGTAAACTCTCCAGCCTCAAAGTAGGGATTTCAACACCTTTGTAACATCACTCCCGCTTGGGTACAGGAAACCTTCCTGTCTCTCTTGCTGCGGTTTTAAAGAACAAGCATGTCTGAGAGATTCTCCTGTTTGGTTGGTTATTTCAAATTCCTCCTGTCAGTTATAGAGATTTGGTTTTGATTTCTTAAGGTAGCTTCCAGATGCTGGTGTTACAGTGAGAGGAAATGCAGAAATCTGTACGTTTTTAAAAAAAAAAATTTGAGTGAGAGGAAATGCAGAAATCTGTACATTTTTTTAAAAAAAAATTTAAGGCCTTTGAGACCTCCTGGTATGTGTTCCACTGCTCTCGTAACAAAAGACAAGGAAAACCCTATTTGGGATCCCTTCTCATGCTTAGATTGATCAGAAAACTTTTTTCAAATAAAACATTTTTCCACAAACCAGCAAGTTCCTTCTATGTTATTATTATGCCTCTCTGATGCCTTTTGCCAACCCCACTAACCTGCTAGCTTGGGCCATCACTGTATTTTTATCTTTTGATCAATGGCTGGTGGATTATTTCCATTATCACATTTATCTTGGCTCACCAGCTAAGATGTGAGAACTGACTACTCTCTCTCCATTCGGAAGCTAAAACCGAAAAGATACTTCTGAATGGAAAAGCAAGATGGAAATCTCAGCCCAGGAGATAGGCAAGAGGGCCAGGGACAATTAGATTATAAACCGACCCCGGCTTGCTCATCTTGTGTTATCCAAATGCTAGATGGGGTTCTGTCTTTGCAGTGGAAAAGGTCAGAGAGGCCGTAAGTCATGGCCAAGAAAACTGTAGCTGTGCCACCTGTCCGTGGCCAGTTGGACCCTGGAATGTCTGGTGTCCTGATTGAAAATTAATGTCACAGGAATAATCCAGACACTGAATGCAGCCTGGCTCCCCTGTGCATATTCAGGCCTGCGTCCAGGTGCAGGGGGCTGCAGCACTTCCTGTGCTGGTGGCAGAATCCCTCAGGGGATGGGTTACGCTGACTGGCTTTCGCAGCGTGGTGGTGATCATGTCTATGGGAAGCAATGAGAGCTCCACGCCTGACCATTTCTGTCCGTCACAGCCCAGCTGAGTAGGTCTTGATGTGGTCTAGGAGTCTTACCACCTACGAATGCAGAGGGCTCCTTGAGTTGTTGCTAAAACTCTCTAGCCATCCCCTCCTTGAAATCCATCCCCCAGTCATACTCTGGCCACTGGATAGCAGGCTTCAGAAGCTCAGCATATCCCCAGCTACCCCTGGCTTTGTGCTGCTACAGCACAGAAGGATCAAGTAGAGTTAGCAAATAAAACAGAACACTAATGTGAGCTCCTTGCTCAATGATATTCCCAGCAGCTTCCACATTGCCAAGAAAGGTTGCTTTGGAAATATTGCTTGAGTGTTCCAAGGTCCCGATTAGAAGTGCCCATCCCAACCGCTGGATAGTCTAAATCACTCCATTTCTTGCCCTCCAATGCTGCTCCAGATGTTACTGGCATCTGCTAAGGCCCTTTAGGTACTATTGTAATTCCCATAGTAATGGCAAGGCAGTGCCTCATTAACTCTGCTCCAACTAGGGATGTAAATACCCATTAAAAAGTTAGCCAGTTAAATAATATAATTTTCCTTACTATATATTAAAACTTTTCCTGCAGGACGACAGAGTGACATCATGCATCACTCTGTGTCCTGCAGCTCCTCCCTCCACCCTCCCCTGTGCTTGGGGGAGCTTTGAGCCATGCGGCCTGCGTCCTACCCCCTCTCTCCTCCCCCATGCTCGGAGGTCAGTGGGGAGAAGGCTGGGCCTGACCATGCGTGGATTTGGCCTGGCCCAACTGCCCTGCAGCAGGGGGAAGAGGGCCGGGCCTGGCTGCAGCTGGGAGAATCAGGGGGTTAGGGTTGGAAGGAGGGAGAAGGGGAGCCCAGGCTTGCAGGACGGAGAGAGGAGGAGGGCTTGGGCTGGTGTGGCAGGGGTGGGGGAAGGGAAAAAGGGAGATCGGGGGGAGGGGGGGGGAAGAGAAGCAGCCTGTGGTGGCATGGCCGCAGCCGGGCTCTCACCAGTAGCTGTGGGGAGAGCCAGGGTTGCCTGCCTCCCCCATCTTGAGGGCTGGCAAGTGCAGCGAGCAGGTGTCACAGCTCCCTAGTAATCTTTTAACTTGTTAATTGTGGGGGGCTGGTGCAGAGCAGGTAGGGTCCTGTGGCAGGGGCTGCTCCAGGCCCCCACAACTGAGGTCCTGCCAGCCTGTCTCAGCCTGTCTCCAGCTGGGCCTGCCCCTCCAGTTAACCAGTTACCAGGTAAGCAGGCTGGTAAGATTAATGCTTACTGGTTAACCTGTTACATCCTTAGCTCCGACACTTCTGTATTTAGCTAAATTCTAGAATGGGATTGGAGACAGGGAATGTTTCCAGTTGTCTATGCTGTAACCTGTTCAAGTGCAACTGACCGCTTTTTTTAAGTGAGATGTTGTTTAAGAACAAGTGTTCCATTTCGAAAGCCCTATCTGTTACTTTCCCCAGTGGTTTGAAGGCCTTAGCTCTTGTGGGACTGTTTGTAATTTGTTCATTCAAAGTCCTGTTGGTGCAGCTGTAATTTAACAACATCCCTAATAGAGTTTGAGAGAAAAGTCAGTCTCTACTGGGGGTGGGAGGCTAAAATCAATGGGGGGCTGTGTATGCAGTTGTGCGAATGGGAAGTGTATTTATTGGTAGTGCATTAGGTTGCCCCCCACTGTTAGTGTGCAATTGGCAGGCAATCAACTACAAGGCCCTGGGAAGTAATACAGCCTGACACGACACACGTGGCTGGCTGAGAAAGATGTTACTTTTGTGTGGAACTGGCCACTGCCTGGGCCCTTTGGAACGTGGCTGAGCAAGCAGATGAGCTCAGAACTTTTCTGTCTTGTTTTCGGAGCATGAAGCCTGCGAGTCCTGGAGGGATAACTGTGTTATGACTTTTAAAAGTCTGGTAACACTTTAAAGACTAAGAAAACATGTACTGTAGATGGTATCATGAGCTTTTGTGGGCACAGCCCACTTCTTCAGATGACCGGAGTGTTGGAAGTCCAGAACCAAGAATAAATAAGGGAAGGGGGAGGAGGGAGGAAAAGTGGAGGATGGGGAGGAGTCTCTCTTAACTATTTAGTCTTTAAGGTGCTAATAGTCTATTTGTTGTTTTTTAATCATAGAATACTAGGACTGGAAGGGACCTCGAGAGGTCATCGAGTCCAGTCCCTACCCCCATGGCAGGACCAAATACTGTCTAGACCATCCCTGATAGACATTTATCTAACCTACTCTTAAATATCTCCAGAGATGGAGATTCCACAACCTACCTGGGCAATTTATTCCCGTGTTTGACTACCCTGACAGTTAGGAACTTTCTCCTAATGTCCAACCTAAACCTCCCTTGCTGCAGTTTAAGCCCATTGCTGCTTGTTCTATCATTAGAGGCCAAGATGAACTAGTTTTCTCCCTCCTCCTTATGACACCCTTTTAGATACCTGAAAATGACTCTCATGTCCCCCCTCAGTCTTCTCTTTTCTAAACTAAACAAACCTAATTCTTTCAGCCTTCCCTCATAGGTCATGTTCTCTAGACCTTTAATCATTCTTGTTGCTCTTCTCTGGACCCTCTACAATTTCTCCACGTCTTTCTTGAAATGCGGTGCCCAGAACTGAACACAATACTCCAGCTGAGGCCTAACCAGTATAGAGTAGAGCGGAAGAATGACTTCTCGTGTCTTGCTCACAACACACCTGTTAATGCATCCCAGAATCATGTTTGCTTTTTTTGCAACAGCATCACACTGCTGACTGATATTCAGCTTGTGGTCCACTATAACCCCTAGATTCCTTTCTGCCGTACTCCTTCCCAGACAGTCGCTTCCCATTCTGTATGTGCAAAACTGATTGTTCCTTCCTGAGTGGAGCACTTTACATATGTCTTTATTAAACTTTATCCTGTTTACCTCAGACCATTTCTCCAATTTGTCCAGATCATTTTGAATTATGACCCTATCCTCCAGAGCAGTCGCAACTCCTCCCAGCTTGGTATCATCTGCAAACTTAATAAGCGTACTTTCTATGCCAATATCTAAATCATTGATGAAGATATTGAACAGAACCGGTCCCAAAACAGACCCTAGCGGAACCCCACTAGTTATACCTTTTAAGTTTTTTCTGTTACAGATTGGCTCGGTTATCCCTTTGAAACGTATCTACCCAATGTCCTCTTTTTCCTCCCCCGCCCTCCAATTTTTTTCTTCCCCCCCCCGCCCTTATCTATTCCAACACTCCAGTCATCTGAAGAAGTGGGCTGTGCCCACAAAAGCTCATGATACCATCTACATGTTTTGTTAGTCTTTAAAGTGCTACCAGACCATTTGTTGTGTTTTAAGTTTTTCCTGTTACAGACTAACTTGTGTTATGACTGTACACTCTGACCAAAGGGCAGGAGGAAGCAATCAGGTGCCAAAAGTGATGTGCTGCTTGATTAAATGAAAGCACAGAGCCATCATGATTTCTGGAGCCCACTGTTTTGAGGTCATCCAGTGACATGTCTGTGGCTTATCCTGGGGGAAGGGAGAGACGGGGGATTGGTGCCATGAGAGATGAAGTTGGAATGTTGTACCGGATGGGAAAGTCGCTGTGTTATACAGAACTGACACACCTAACGGAGGAAGGTACAAACCAAAATGTAATTAACAGCAACCATGTGGGATGTGTGCATCTAGCCTGCAAATGACCAATGTAAAAGCTTGTCCACACATGGAATTATTCTGCTTTAATTTCTGTTCCTGACAGCTCCTTAGTTCAGGATAAAACTGCCTTGTTCCTAGTTAGCCTAACCTACCTTGAACATGTGGTAAAATAACCTGGAATACAAGACTTTAGAATAAGAGAATCCCCACGCAGTCAGAAACAGCTACTGCACTTTAAATTAACACCCTGTGTTCATCAAAATTGCTTTCAAGTGTAGACAAGCCCTTAAGCTGCTTTGGAAAGCCCAGGCTTCCCCTCCATTTAATGTGGTATCCTTACTCCCCTTTAGTAATCTTTCCTCCCGCAGGCCCTATGGAGAAGGGAACTTCTAGTCTGGGCCTCCTCCAGCTTTTTCCAGTCCACTCCTAGAGCTGTGTTCTTGGAGTGTGTTGGCCTGGCAGCAGGATGGCATGCTTTCTTGGGTGGAATTCCTTCCTGGAATGTGGTGACTCAGGCAGCCACCTGCCTGGCGTCTGCCTG